TAATAATATATCTCTCTCCCTCCCCTCCTCTCTCTCTCTCTCTCTCTCTCTCGCTCTTTGATCATCCCTCATCTTTGATTCTTAAAATATTATTACCTCAAGAGGTAAATAAAAATAAACCCTCTCGTTATTATCTCACAGTACATTAAAACATCGAGTAGCGATGTCCGCGGAAAATAACTTGACGTACATGAATTAAGCTTTTATATAATATAGTTTCATTAAAGTTAAATATAGTCCCGCAAAAGTTAGGGGCTCCATCCGTTGTGTGAAGATCACATAACGGAGTCCGTATATAAATTCCCGTAAAATCACACAGGTGTAATGTATAATTGGAACTGTGTGTCACTCGCGATATCCGATGTGCAAATTCAGTTGAAACAGATCAATATAAATCTCGGCAGCTATCGCAAAAATCGTAACAGACATATACACACAACCAACATTCTCTCTCTCTCTCTCTCTCTCTCTCTTGCTTTTGTCTTTTTTAAAATACTCTTATCTCAAGGAGTAAGTCTTATCAAATTCACTGTCTATCGCAATATAGCACGTGAAAACATTGAGTATGAATGCGAAAAATGATTCTGACGTATACGAGTTAGGGGTAGTATTGTATGTAAATGTTATATAGCGAAATCCGTGTTGCATAAAGATCCATAAGATAACACGAATCAGCAGGGTAACGTGTAATCGTAACAGTAAATATGCTACCATATATGGTGTTTGATGAACAAACTCAACCGGTAAAAATCGGTATAAATATCGGCGATCGGTTTATTTATGCCGCAAAAATATAAAGACATACAGATACACGTTCACATATACAATCATATATTCGCTCTTTCTCACCCTCCCCCTCTCTCTTTCTCCCTTTCTCTCGTTGTTTAGTTTTTTAAAAATATTATTACCTTATTTCAGCTGTAAGCGTTGCAGCTATAATTTCGTTTGAAGGCTCTATCGTATGTGAAGATCACATCAACGAAGTTCATGTCAACAATACAAATTTCCGTAAGATTACGCGAGTAATGTGTAATCGAAATTGTAAATGTATCACTCGCGACGTCCGATGAGTAAATTCGGACCGACACATATAGTGTGACACATATAGTGGAACCGTCGACATATAGACTGGATTGCTGATGACGGTAGTAAGAGTAAGTAGAGTGAGAGGCAGATATGTAAGTGGATAAACATTCCTTCTCTGTTTACTAAAACCGGATTGGTTGCCAGAGCAACAACACGAATCCGGTTTTAGTAAACAAAGAAGGTTCA